AACGAACCGTCTTCTTTTTCTAATAATTAAATGAAACGTCAAAGCTTCCGCGTTTCGCGGAGGAGGGAGGGGGAAATTCGCCCCTCCCTGCATCTACCCCCCCCCCGCATCATGTCACTGTTGGTCACCATTACGTACCAATATTTGGCTCGCAAAATTTCAAATTTGGGCCCCCCCCCTAAGAAATCCTGGATCCGCGCCTGTACGGATGTAATGTTGAATATCCATGAGGTATCTCCGTCGTCACGCATTCCTGCATTATGCATATCGCGTCTGTTTTCGCCCTGGACGTCGACACGGAGGAGGACCTCAGGCGGAGTATAGCCAATTCCACAGAGTAGACTCTCCCGCGGACGATGGCACCGGGCACGGGTATCCCGAGGCACTATGAACATGGTGGACAAAGAAAGCGGACAAAATATACAGTTCCTCGGGTGGACAAAAGAACATCCCTTCACTGCTATTATGTAAAAATGTGTAAAACAGGTGTCACATGCATATTCACCTGTTCTACACATTTTTACATAATAGCAGTGAAGGGATGTTCCTTTGTCTAACTGAGGAACTGTATATTTTGTCCGCTTTCTTTGTCTGTCACGTTCATAGTGAGGGCAGGGTTCAGGAGGAGATAGCTGGGTCGGCGATCTCATTAAAAAACAATAGAATACAAAGACTCGCCGAGACGTCGCGCCCCCCGCGGAGCCTTAGCGTATTACTTTTATAGAAAAGCGACTGAGTGTAGCTATGACATTGTTGTATAACGTATGGTGGCAATGTAATGTAGGATTCTACCAACGTAAAGGTAAAGCAAGCCCAATCAGGATCATAGCGCGGTTAGTGAAACCTACTACACAAATACGCAGCTGGTATAAATTCTCTCATTTTGGGCACGTAGTGCCTATAGTAAAGACAATTAGGAATGAAATAAGAAATAGGAATACATTATCTGTTTTACCCAACATATTAAGGGCAAAAGAGCATTTCGTTGGTTTAGTAATACTAAGCACATAATTTGCCCATACAATTCATTATTTGACCTAAAACATACCTTAGGTTAGGAAATAGATTTCATCCCATAGGCATAGACACAGGTTCATAGTAGAGGTCTATAGTTTCATTTGAATTACAACAAACACAAACAAAACAACATTGCATTTTTTTCAATATACAAACCAGTGCCACGGCGACTTGCTATGATGAGAGATATAGAATCGGTGAGGTATTCCTCCTGATTATCAGTATATGTTTGACGTATAACAGTCGCCTCTTTGTCTCCATGAAGAACGCGTCTCAGAGCAGGGACTATGAGGGGCACAGGCCCGTTCAGATCAACTATACATATGATAAGCTTATCAGGAAAAACCACTCGTTCATAATCACAGGGTACAGCCTTGCCTGGTTTGTACGACAAGATTTCATGTCGTAGTGTAGAAATCCTCGTCTTCAAATCCGCATTTGAAGAAGCCATTTTGAATGACTACCTGCCTACGTTTGGAGAGGAACAGAACAGCCAAACGCAATGGATTTAATCGGTGTATTCATGCAATACAAATGTTACTGTTCAATACATGTCTTCTACAGGCTCTACAGGTTCCAATGCGCATCAACTACTACTAATAATAGTGGGTTCTTGTATAGCGCTCATGTCTCTCAGACTTGACACTCATGGCGCTCATTCATCTATGAAATTTGATTGTATTGATTGGAACGAGGCTTATTTTTAGTACGGATAGAGTCAATAAGCCATGGACTTTGTACTTTCAGTGTTGTCAAAATATTGTTATAAACATTATGTGCATTAAAACCCCTATAAATCCTATAGTTTAATATTATATATTATTATCCGTATCAGACATCTGACCAGTGGTTTTACAAAATCAAATTACATTCGTTTGTAATGCTAAAAGGGCTAATCTGATAATATTATACAGATATGACTGGCAGGGGGTGTAATATTATAAATATATTGACTGCTATGAGAGGCATCGCTGTTCATATAGGCTCAAGGAGACGTTACATCCTGATATGAACCCTCGGTGCGTCGCCCCGAAAGCCACTATAGAAATAGCTATGTTTAGAGGAATTGGTATATAAAATGGAGTTCACATAAGTTCTGAACGTTCTATTTAAGTTATACCTCTCTTTAGAAATCTAGCCATCTGATTGGTCGAAATTGGAGTCGCGATTTTAGCCATTCCCGTAAAGAAACAAACAATGCCAGTACAGGTTAATAGGTTAATAGGTTAATAATAGGAAAAAAGTAACATTTTGCTGCGATCACCATCGGTTTACGTGTTAAAATTTAGTTTGTGAGAGCGTGTATAAAAGACATATCGACTGCTTTAATATTCGAGGCCTGGCTGTTGGCTCTCGGAGACGTTGCACCCTCCCATTTGTTTTTGTAAGTTATACTATTGCATGCGTTGTTGAGCCCCCTCACATTGTGAAAAAGTATGTTTAAGAGAAAAAGAAAGAAAGAGAGAAAGAAATAAAGAATATTGACCTGCTAGTGTCACAATAAATGTGCTCCGACGGTGCTCCGACCGGTGTACCCCACTAAGGGCCCTAAGATGGGGGCATTGGATGCTCATCTTACCGTAATTTAATACCTAAAACTCCAGAGCTTTCGGGGGCTTTGGTCCCTGGACCCCACCAAGGGCCTTAAGGCGGGTCCCTGGATGCTCATCTGACCGTAATTAAATACCGAAAACCCCAGAGCTTCATGGGGCTCAGCCAACTGGACCTCCCGCCAATTAGTTTCCTCCCAGTGTCAGAAATATGGTATCAAAAAATGCTCATCTGACGGTAATTAAATGCCTCAAATCCCTTGAGCTTCCGGTGGCTCCGCTCCTGGACCCCACCAGGGGCCCCTGTGCTTCATGGGGCTCTGTCCCTTGATCCCCGCAGGGGCAAAACTCCTGCACCCCACGCCAATTTGCTGTCCACTCGTTTTGCTCGATACGCTCTACCATTCGTTAATACTCCACTTTGAAAAACGTTCCGCGGTGCCTGCATGTAAGATATAAGAGTGGTTGTGATGCAGATTTTTCTTCCGCTTCCGTTTTTGTTCAATACGCCATGCACAGATGCACTACCCCGAAAGATGAGCAACCTGGAATGTCCCCCCCCCCCTCAATCCCAAACTGCTTCCGGCGTGCATAGTGAATTGGTTACCCCATATAGTTGGTACCTAGGGAATTCGGTGGGCTACAGCAGAACTCTCCTGCCCCCTCCCCCACTCAGTGTTATTTAGGGTACGCATATGCATGTTCATTCCTTTCGAAACCACCCTCCTAGTCCGGTGTGTAAAGTCAATACGGGCCGGATTTTTTGTGTACTACGAGCCGGACTTTGGTGCGTGAAAAATACCCCTTTACCGGACATTTTGGGAACACGCATGGTATTCCTCCATTCACGGAGTTTGGGGGGGGGGGGGGGTACTATCCGGACTATCATAGAGCCTAGTTCCTAACTAGCTTGGAAAGGTTTGATGAATGTGGGCCCAGGTCATTTACTATGTCCACGAAATATGACTACTGAAATCAATTACTTTTTTTTACAGGTGCGCCCAAGTCATCTATCCCTCTTGACTACACAAATAGCATGATGTCAAGAGGTCAATTACGTACGCTAGAACAGCATGAATTATTTATGTGTCATGATCATCTACGTCATTAGCTATGCATGACAGTAATATAACGGTAAAAGGAAAGCCCAATTGAGGGGTCAGTATTTACACGTGTATCGTCTAGAGCATATTTGATATACAGCGTTGAGTTTAGAGCAAATAAAGCTCACCTGAGATGACATTTACACACGCAGTGGCGTATCCATCATTCTCTGGTGGGGGAGGATGAGGGGGTTACAAGTCATATAATTATGTGCCAAGCAAAACAATAACGGGGGGGGGGGGCTGGTCCAAAAACTTGAAAAAATGTTTTAAAGAATATCATAATTTAGAGGTAAATTATGATATTAGAAGAAGAAAAAAATCCCACATTCCCGATATTCCATACGTAGCGTTGCTATTTCGCATTTGCCGGTATTAAAGGGCATTCAAAAAATAAATTGTCATTTAATTCAACTGGTTGTTTATTCAAGACATTTCGTTATGGTAGAATGCCTCTTTTCCTCCTCCCTCTCTTTCTCTCTCTCTCTCTCTCTCTCTTTCTCGTTTTAGTGTCTTTCTCCTATTCTAACTTTCTTTCGTGCTCTCTCCTATGTAACTACATATCTCTTTATATGATACTTGCCATTTAATTGTCTAATCTTATCACATAAATCACCACCCCTCTCACCCTCTCTTCCTTTGCTCTCTCTCTCTCTCTCTCTCTCTACCCCCTCCGTTTATTGTGTGATAGGCATGCGTGTAGGCAGCCATGTTTCAAGTGGCAAATACGTGGGTACTAATAGCATGTACAGGTCAATCTGATAACGCCCTCTTTAGGCAAATACATTGCACTCTTCGTCTTTCTCTTCTTCCTCCTAGCTCCCTCTCCAGTTCGGCCTGATTCTTCGTCTGCTGCTCCAACTGCGCATCCTCATACTTTACGTACACTGTCTTCCGTATCAACCTCATCTTGCTTCTCTTCCCTCTTCTCCTCCTCCACCTCCAGCTCATACTGCTCCTCCTGCTATTGCTCCAACGTCGATCTTCCATCTTTTCCCTCCCCTTTCGTCTCCTCAAACTCCTTCACCTGATCCTGCTTCTCCTCTTCTAGCTGCTCCTCCAACCCTTCTACCTTTCGCCCCTCCTCCTCTACGAACTCCTCCTCATCCACCTCCTTCACCTCCTTATGCTTCTCCTCTTCATGTTGCTCCAACTGATGGTGCTCCTGCTACTGCTCCTACTGTGCGAATTCCTTGTTTTCCTCAAGCTCATCCTGCTTAGCTCTAGCTCCTTGGTATTCTGTTGCTCCACCTGATCCCTCTCTATATCCCCTTTCTGCTCCTCCTCATCTTGCTGCAACTGCTCTTTCATCACCTCTTCCTCCTCGAACTCATCCTGCATGCTTCTTCTCCACCTCCTCCTGCTCCTTATCTTCCTCCTCAAGTTCATCACTCTCCTTCTTCTCCTCCTCATCCACCTCAAATCGCTCAAATTGCTCCTTCACCATCTCTTCTTCCTCGAACTCATCCTTCCCCTTCTCCTCCTCCCCCTTCTTCTCCTCTTCCTCCTCGAGCTCATCAACCTGCTTCTTCTCCCCCTCCTGCTCAAATTGCTCCTTCACCATCTCTTACTCCTCGAACTAATCCTGCTTCTTCTCCTCATCCTTCTCCTTCTTCCCTTCTTCCCCCTCGAGCTCATCACCCTGCTTCTCCTTTACGTCCTGCTTAAACTATGCTGCTCCACTTCTTTAAGTTCCTCTCCCTGATAGATAGATGGATATAAATAGTTTTATTTATAAATTCCACCATCGCAACTGAATTGCCATTGTAATACAATTGAAAAGTATACGTATTCACAAGTTAAAAGTACAATAGTCTTAGAACGAAAACAGAATATATTAAATAAATCATCATATTAAAACTCTCTATAAAAATTCACTGAGTATGGAAATGAAGAAGGGATGAGTGAGAAATAGGAGCAAGGAGTAAGAATCAACAAAAGGTGAGAATAGAATGAGAGAAAAAGAAAGGAAGGGTAAATAACAATAATAAATCAAGTAAAATGAGGTGGAAAACATATGTAATGAACCCCCAGTTCCTCCTGCTCCTCGTGCTCCATATCCTGCTCTTCTACTTTCGGCGAATCCGAAGTTTCACTGGATGACGTATCGCTGATGCTTGGTCTCTAAGCATTCGAACGAAATCATCTATTTGTTCAACATTTATGTTGTTAGGTATACATACTATCAAACTCATTGACATCCGCCACCTATAGTTCGAAAGCAGGCAATACTCGAGTCGCTCGAGGTATAAAGTAGGAAGAGACGGCAATTGATATGAATATTCGCATGATAAGTTTGTATCTAAACAGATACAATGGCTCAAATAGCCCAAACAGCTGCGGAGGACTAAATAAGTGCATTATAAATATTGTATCTAAAAATGTCATTCGTGACGGAGACAAATTAGGTGATGTGCCGTTTTGAACTAGTCATAACACATGTAAAAACTCAATAGGAGATTTGATCTTTAAAAAAAAAAATCCACCCTCCACTCATATAACACGTTTATGTACGAGCTTATTTAGTAATCAAGGATGTAGAAACAGTAACAATGATTGTGCTGACTATTGTTTGGTACAACCGTGTTACCATTACATTAATGACAGCAGTAGGCTAAAAAAAATATTAAACAACAGAATAACACGTCGTTCATAAAGTTAAAGTTCTGATTATTTATCATACGAATATGTCGAATCACACAGAGCAGCAAGAAAAACAATGTTGACAGTCGAGAATCGTGAAGAGAAAATGTGCAGATGAGAATTGTCAGAGAGATAAATATTATCGATGTAGATTATAGTAAGAACCAAGGGGCTAATTCCACCGAATCTGACTCTAACCAAAAGGCTAGACTGCATGTTTAGATTTACGACCAAGCCAAGTAGGCCAACATATATGTACGGTGTAGCATTTGCTTGGCGGCTAACGCACATAGCGTGCGCTCTACGTTCGGGACACGAATTAAAATCTGAATTTTGAAATATCAAACAAATATCAAAAAATTTGCCTGGCGGGCCCCTTTGCCTTATTATATTCTTACTAATTCTAAATAAGTAAAATATTTTCCTTGTTGTTTGAGAACCATTTTCTTTATTTGACCGATTCGGACATAGATATCTCCTCAGTGCTTTCGCTGCATCTATGCCAGAACTGTAAAAATGGGAGCCCTACGTTACTATGGTTCCATAAATTATGCATCAAGTTGAGTTGGGTGACTAGCAAACAATATGTGTTAATGTCAAATGAACCGAGCTCCCAAGCATTGAATTGGGCACTGAAGTGATCTCATTCGTATCATATTTTGAATGGAGTATTGTGCTAGGTACGCGTACAATGCCAAATGTAAACATGACGTCATTCCAGTATCACACGGAACGAGTGCATTTCAATACCTTTTAAGGGCTTGTGACGAACGTTTTGAACCTTTCGCCGCACTTTGAGGAAGTTGGCCACATTAAAAAAAATAACGACGAAAGCTGGCTATGCCTTAAGTTCCTGTTACGGGAAAAACACTACTACCAGACTACATTTACCTACCAATTGACTTTTTAGGAACGACAGCTTGGTGGAAAATTAGAATAAGTCTATTACTTGAAACATCTAGGAACATCAACCTACCTGAGTACAGGAAACAGAAGCAAGAGGAGCAATATTTCAGATGAGCCTCTTTTTCTACTATTATGGATATCCGCAATCGAATCATTTCTGTGTCTATTCAGATGTTGGCCATTTTGATGTTGATGATCAGTCTGCACAGAGATACAGGGCAAGGTAGAAAAAACGAAATATATTACGAAAGCTTATAGGCCTACTGCACTCATTACAATCTTGGCTTTGATATTACCTTCTCCATGGTGTAGTATCTTTATGTTTTAGCTTTACTTATTCCTTAATTCCCAAGTAACTACAAGCAGGGGCGGCGATTTCTTTTCTATGACCGGGGGGGGGGGGCGAAATGTGAGGGACGAGGGAGCAGTGGCATAATGGGAAGAAATGTTTGGGAGAGGGGGCAGAAGAAAAAAAATCCGCATCACCACCACTCTTACACGTTACGCAGGCCCTGGGAACCTTTTTTTTTAAGTGAGGGGGGAGGGCTAAAGTATTTACGATCAGGTAGAGCAAAGCAAAGCAAAGTGGAGGGTACAATGACGTGGGGTCCAGGGCATATTTTAAAACCTTATTTGTGACACTGGCATGCAGGTCACTTATTGGGGTGGGGTCAGCCCCCATAAGCTCAGGGGTTTTAAGCATTAAATTACGATCAGATGAGCATCAAGGGGCCGTCTAAGAACCCTTTGTGGGGTCCAGGGAGCAGAGGCCCTGGAAGCTCAGGCGTTTTAGGAATTTAATTTCGGTCATATGAGTAACCAGGGGCCCGACTTAGGGCTCTTGGTTGGGCCCAGGGGGTAGGGCACCCGGAAGGTCAGGGAACAATTATGCCATTTATACAACATTTGTAAATCACTGGTATCAAATTAGAAATAAACCACGTTTGAATTTCATTTGGGGGGGGGGGGGGAACTTCCCCAAAAGCCCCCCGCCCCCATCAGTACGCAAATGCGAGGAAGCATAGTGAATGAGAGGGGTGAAGGTGACGGAAGTGACTACCCCGTCACATGTTTTTGAAGTTTTATTGCATTAAACAATTACATTCCTTTATAGCAAAACTATAGTATAAACGTTTATAGCAATATACTTTTTTTCACCCTTCAAGTTTCTCGGTATTTACTTGTACTTGTACATTTTGAAGGATATTATGCGAGGGAGCGTATCTACCGAGTTAGAAGATTTTTGAATTTTTATTTGTTTAAACGCTGCACTCTTGGGCCCTCCAGAGCCTATGTGTCATCTACTTCATTCATAACTACATCTTTATCTATGCATTACAATAATATAACGGTAAGAGGAAAGCCAAATATAATTGAGAGGTCAGTATTTACACGTGTATCGTATAAAGCATATTTGATATCACACAGTGTTGAGTTTAGAGCAAATAAATCTCCCCGAGACGACATGTACACACGCAATTGCTTCCTCTCTCTCTCTCTCTATCTCTATCTCTCTACTCTTTCTCTTTTTACTTTCATTCTCCTATTCTAACTATTCCAGCTCTTTTCTATGTAACTACATATCTCTTTAATACTTGCCATTCTCTAATATTATCTCATAAATCACGCCGGACCCTCCAATCCTCCCTTACCAAAAAGCCTAATGGTAAATGAATGGTGTTTGAATGGTAGCATCAATGGTAAATGGTATTTCAAAGGTGTGCCAATGGTTGATTCTGTATGGTGAATGGTGTTTCAATGGTGGTGTATGATGATAAGTGGTGAGCCAATAGTAGAGTATGTATGGTGGATGGTGTTTCAATGGTGGACTTGTTTGGTCAATGGTGTTTCAATGGTTGCGTCTGTATGGGGAATGGTGTTTCAATGGTGGAAGTGTATGGTGAATGGTGTTTCAATGGTAGAGTCTGTATGGCGAATGGTGTTTCAATGGTGGAGTTGTATGGTCAATGGTGGTGTCTGTATAGTGAATGATATTTCAATGGTGGCGTCTGTATGATGAATGGTGTTTCAATGGTGGAATTGTATGGTGAATGGTGTTTCAATGGTGGTGTCTGTATGGTGAATGGTGTTTCAATGGTGGAATTGTATGGTGAATGATGTTTCAATGGTAGAATTGTATGGTCAATGGTGTTTCAATGGTAGAATTGTATGGTGAATGATGTTTCAATGGTGGTGTCTGTATGGTGAATGGTGTTTCAATGGTGAAGTTGTATGGTCAATGGTGTTTCAATGGTGGAATTGTATAGTTAATGGTGTTTTTATGGTGGAATTGTATGGTCAATGGTGTTTCAATGGTGGAATTGTATGGTGAATGGTGTTTCAATAGCGGCGTCTGTATGGTGAATGGTGTTTCAATGGTGGGATTGTATGGTGAATGGTGTTTCAATGGTGGTGTCCGTATGGTCAATGGTGTTTCAGTGGTGGAATTGTATGGTCAATGGTGTTTCAATGGTGGTGTCTGTATGGTGAATGATGTTTCAATGGTGGAGTTATATGGTCAATGGTGGTGTCTGTATAGTGAATGATATTTCAATGGTGGCATCTGTATGATGAATGGTGTTTCAATGGTGGAATTGTATGGTGAATGGTGTTTCAATGGTGGTGTCTGTATGGTGAATGGTGTTTCAATGGTGGTATTGTATGGTGAATGATGTTTCAATGGTAGAATTGTATGATCAATGGTGTTTCAATGGTAGAATTGTATGGTGAATGATGTTTCAATGGTGGTGTCTGTATGGTGAATGGTGTTTCAATGGTGGAGTTGTATGGTCAATGGTGTTTCAATGGTGGAATTGTATGGTGAATGGTGTTTCAATGGTGGTGTCTGTATGGTGAATGGTGTTTCAATGGTGGAATTGTATGGTGAATGATGTTTCAATGGTGGAGTCTGTATGGCGAATGGTGTTTCAATGGTGGAACTGTATGGTCAATGGTGTTTTAATGGTGGAATTGTATGGTCAATGGTCAATGGACTTTGAGAAAGCTAGGTGTCCCTTATACTTTGAACTACAATTTGCTCTGTTATTTCGTTTTATTTTTCGCAATTTTTTCTTCATGATCAACGTTTCAAAGCTGACAAACTGCAAGGAATAATACCCTAGTCCTCAGGAACAATGATGGATCTTTAGTTTTTTCTTCAATTTGGAGTAATTTTGGATGTGATATGTGTCTCTTAACCGTGAGTAACTGCTGTTTTGTGCCTGTGGTCCCACTCATATGACTCTGTGATATATATTATTATACATTTGCTTACATGAACAGCCTGTTATTGTTAATTAAAGCAGCTTATAAATCATTCTATTTTCTTACAAAAATAGAAATATTACAGTATTAGGGGCACACCTTTAGAACTTTCATCAAGTTATTTATCTGATCGTAAACAATTAACAATTATAAATGAAGCTGCCTTTACAAAATAATGTTCAATGGTATTTCATATTTAAATTTCAATGATGTAAAAAGTACCATTCATCTACCATTGGTGATTATGCAAATGAGCGTCCATAACATTATTATTACGTTAAATGGTGGTATTTTACTGGTAGATGAATGGTGCCCAATGGTACTTTTCGAGCGTAATCTCAATGGTATCCGAATGGTATTTAAATGGTGTTTGTGAATGGTATCCGTATGGTATTTTCAGTGGTACTTCCGAATGGTATACCAATGGTATACCATTGAACATTTTTTGTAAGGGCTCTCTTCCTCCACTCTCCCTCTCCCCCTTTTAATCAAGCTCCCTTTTTCTATTCTTTCCCATATTGTGTATTTCGCAACTTATTTTTTCCGACTCCACACAAAGGTGAGTGAAATCAAGATTTAAAATAATAAGCTTTCATCCCAAATATAATATTGAATTTTGTTTTATTTCAAAGGTTATTCAATATATTCATTTGTAGTCTATGATAATGGTGACATGGAACTTTCAAGTTTTATCACACAGTGGTAGGTAAAACCATCAAACCCAACTAATGATAAGAAGTTGCACCGTTTATTGTGTGAAGGGCATGTGTGTAGGCATCCATGTTTCGAGTGACAATACGTGGTACTAATAGCATGTACAGGTCAATCTGATAACGCCCTCTTTAGGCAAATACATTACACTTTTCGTCTTCCTCTTCTCCCTCTTCTTCCTCCTAGCTCCCTCTCCTGTTCGGCCTACTTCTTCGTCTGCGGCTCCGACTTCTCATCCTCATACTTTAGCTCCTCATCCTCTACGTACACTGTCTTCCTTATCAACCTCATCCTGCTTCTCTTCCCTCTTCCCCTCCTCCTTCCGTTCAGACTGTTCCTCCTCCTGCCGTTGCTCCAATCGATCTTCCATCTTTCTCCTCCCCTTTCTGCTCCTCAAATTACTCGCCCTCAAACTTCTGCTTTTACCCCTCCTCCTTGACAAACTCCTCCACCTCATCCTGGTTCTCCTCTCCCAATCCTTCTAACTTTCGCCCCTACTCCTCTACGAACTCCTCCTCATCCACCTCCTCCGCCTCATTCGGCTTCTCCTCTCCATGTAGCTCCAACTACTGGTGCTCCAACTGATCCCTCTCTATATCCCCTTTCTGCTCCTGAAGCTGCTGCTCCTCCTCATCATGCTGCAACTGCCCCTTCTCGACCTCTTCCTCCTCGAACTCGTCCTGCATGCTTCTTCTCCTCCTCCTCCTCCTCCTTCTCCTTCTTTTTCTCCTCAAGTTCATCACCCTCCTTCCTTTCCTCAAGCTCATCACCTTGCTTCTTCTCCTCCTCCTGCTCAAATTGCTCCTTCACAACCTCTTCCTCCTCAAACCCATCCTTCTCCTCATCCTTCTTCTTCTTCCCCTCTTCCTCCTCCTTCTCCTCCTCCTGCTAAAATTGCTCTTTCACCCCCTCTTCCTTCTCCTTCTCCTTCTCCTCCTCCTGCTCAAATTGCTCCTTCACCACCTCTTCCTCATCGAACTCTTCCTTCTCCTCCATCTTCTTCCTCAAGCTCGTCACCCTGCTTCTCCTTCACGTCCTGCTTAAACTATGCTGCTCCACTTCTTTAAGTTCCTTTCCCTGATAGATAGATAGATGGATTGAAATGGTTTTATTTAAAAATTCTATCATCGCAACTGAATTGCCATTGTAATGCAATTGAAAAGTATACGTATTCACAAGTTAAAAGTACAATAGTCTTAGAACGAAGACAGAATATATTTTAAAAAATGAGCCTTCTATTTAATAATTAGCTTTAAAATGTACAGATCCTCATTCTCTAACATGTAGGTTCTCCTTCTCGTCATCCTCTTTTTCGTCCTCTGAGGGTCTTCCAGCTCCTCTTCCAACTCATCCTCGTCCTTCTGCTCCTGCTCCTGCTACCGCTCCTGTTGATTCTCCTCTATCTTCCTCCAGGTCCTCCCCCAGTTCCTCCTGCTTCCCTTGCTCCATCTCCTGCTCTTCTACTTTCGGCGAATCCGAAGTTTCACTAGATGACGTATCGCTGAAGCTTGGTCTCTAAGCATTCGAACGAAATCATCTATTTGTTCAACATTTATGTTGTTAGGTATACATACTATCAAACTCATTAACATCCGCCACCTATAGTTCGAAAGCAGGCAATACTCGAGTCGCTCGAGGTATAAAGTAGGAAGAGACGGCAATTGATATGAATATTCGCATGATAAGTTTGTATCTAAACAGATAAAATGGCTCAAATAACCCAAACAGCTGCGGAGGACTAAATAAGTGCATTATAAATATTGTATCTACACATTGAATTCATGACGGGGACGAATTAAGTAATGTGACGCTTTGATCGAGACATAACACATGTCGGAACTCAATGGGAGATTTGATCTTTAAAAAAAATCCACCCTCCACTCATATAACACGTTTATGTACGAGCTTATTTAGTAATCAAGGATGTAGAAACAGTAACAATGATTGTGCTGACTATTGTTTGGTACAACCCTGTTACCATTACATTAATGACAGCAGTAGGCTAACAAAAAATTAAACAACAGAGTAACACGTCGTTCATAAAGTTAAAGTTCTGATTATTTATTATACGAATATGTCGAATCACAGCAAGAAAAACAATGTTGACAGTCGAGAATCGTGAAGAGAAAATGTGCAGATGAGAATTGTCAGAGAGATGATTACTATCGATGTAGATTATAGTAAGAACCAAGGGGCTAATTCCACCGAATCTGACTCTAACCAAAAGGCTAGACTGCATGTTTAGATTTACGACCAAGCCAAGTAGGCCAACATCGGTGTAGCATTTGCTTGGCGGCTAACGCACATAGCGTGCGCTCTACGTTCGGGACATGAATTAAAATCTGAATTTTGAAATATCAAACAAATATCAAAAAATTTGCCTGGCGGGCCCCTTTGCCTTATAATATTCTTACTAATTCTAAACAAGTAAAATATTTTCCTTGTTGTTTGAGAACCATTATCTTTATTTGACCGATTCGGACATAGATAGCTTTCGCTGCATCTATGCCAGAACTGTAAAAATGGTAGCCCTACGTTACTATGGTTCCATAAATTATGCATCAAGTTGAGTTGGGTGACTAGCAAACAATATGTGTTAATGTCAAATGAACCGAGCTCCCAAGCATTGAATTGGGCACTGAAGTGATCTCATTCGTATCATATTTTGAATGGAGTATTGTGTTAGGTACGCGTACAATGTCAAATGTAAACATGACGTCATTCCAGTATCACACGGAACGAGTGCATTTCAATACCTTTTAAGGGCTTGTGACGAACGTTTTTAACCTTTCACCGCACTTTGAGGAAGTTGGCCACATTAAAAAATAACGACGAAAGCTGGCTATGCCTTAGTTCCTGTTACGGGAAAAAACTACTACCAGACTACATTTACCTACCAATTGACTTTTTAGGAACGACAGCTTGGAGAAAAATTAGAATAAGTCTATTACTTGAAACATCTAGGAACATCAACCTACCTGAGTACAGGAAACGGAAGCAAGAGGAGCAATATTTCAGATGAGCCTCTTTTTCTACTATTATGGATATCCGCAATCGAATCATTTCTGTGTCTATTCAGATGTTGGCCATTTTGATGTTGATGATCAGTCTGCACAGAGATACAGGGCAAGGTAGAAAAAACGAAATATATTACGAAAGCTTATACTGCACTCATTACAATCTTGGCTTTGATATTACCTTCTCCATGGTGTAGTGTCTTTATGTTTTAGCTTTACTTATTCCTTAATTCCCAAGTAACTACAAGCAGGGGCGGCGATTTCTTTTTTATGACCGGGGGGAGGGGGGGGGGGGCGAAATGCGAGGGACGAGGGAGCAGTGGCATAATGGGAAGAAACGTTTGGGGGAGGGGGCAGAAGAAAAAAAATCCGCATCACCACTACTCTTACACGTTACGCAGGCCCTGGGAACCTTTTTTTTAAGTGGGGGGGGGGGGGGGCTTAAGTATTTACGATCAGGTAGAGCAAAGCAAAGCAAAGTGAAGCGTACAATGACGTGGGGTCCAGGGGCAAAGCCCCGGCGGGTGTCAAGCTCAGGGGTTTTGGGCATTTAATTATGGTCAGATGAGCATATTTTAAAACCTTATTTGTGACACTGTCATGCAGGTAACTTATTGGGGTGGGGTCAGCCCCCAGAAGCTCAGGGGTTTTAAGCATTAAATTACGATCAGATGAGCATAAAGGGGCCGTCTAAGAGCACTTTGTGGGGTCCAGGTAGCAGAGGCCCTGGAAGCTCAGGCGTTTTAGGAATTTAATTTCGGTCATATGAGCAACCAGGGGCCCCACTTAGGGCTCTTGGTTGGGCCCAGGGGGTAGGGCACCCGGAAGGTCAGGGAACAATCATGCCATTTATACATCATTTGTAAGTCACTGGTATCAAACGTTTATAGCAATATACTTTTTCCCCCTTCAAGTTTCTCGGTATTTAATTGTACTTGTACATTTTGAAGGATATTGTGCGAGGGAGCGTAGCTACCGAGTTAGAAGATTTTTGCATTTTTATTTGTTTAAACGCTGCACTCTTGGGCCCTCCAGAGCCTAAAATGTGTTGAAGTCTTTGCTATACAATCCCCCCTAAAAATTCGAGGGGAAGACGTGTCCCCCCGTTCCCCCGGGATCGCCGCCCCTGACTACAAGCAAATTAAGTTGATTTAGGGTGTATTATGTAGGTGTTAATGTTTTGAAGAGGTGGATATTTCGTGAAGGTGTCGTAAGATAATTGATCATTCACTTGACTCTCAATCCAAGGGTTGAGGGTACACATCTCAGCCGGGCACTAATGCCCCTTGAGAAGATACTGTATTAATCAGTGGCGGATCCAGGGGGAACGGGGGGGACACGTCTTCCCCTCGATTTTTTTAGGGGGGATTATCTCCCCTCAAAATTTGAAAAAATGGGTGCACACCCCCTGGAAAAAAATGTGTAAAAACACGTAAATGTTACCTTTTTGCGGAGATGCCCCCCCCCTGGCTCTCAAGGGGGGGGGGGGTGCAAATTTTCTAATTTTCTCCAGCACAAATTTGCCAGCACAAACGTAGCTAGTTCGCCGTCATGCAATACCAAACTAGAATGTTCCACTATGTTACAGGGTGTATATGCCATTGGGTAGGATGTGTGAACCGGGTGTGCGGAAATGGTGTGTTGGGGGGGGGGGGAGGGGAAGTGAGAGTGTTCATATGTGTGGTAATTGTATGTGTGTCAACAATTTAAGACTAATAAATGACAGATGGCTATTAAATCATAAATCTACAATGATGGGTAAACTGTGTACATCACAGTCCACAGATAAATGTGCCTTGAACGTATATAGCAGACGGCAATCGGCGGATCAGACGACACTTGATAGTAACTTTGTATGTGAGATTGCTTTGCTAAATATAAAATACAAGAACCTTTAACTATCATTGATATCTGATAATTAAACAGTAGGTAAAATAAACCTACCAAACTACATAATTCAATGAAATACTTGACTGAAAGTGGGGGAATTTGATATGGTGCACAATTGCAACCTTCTGTATATAATCGAAAAGTCCATGGCGTTCATGAATAGTCATGTTTTTGCTTACCTAGGCAAAATGCTTGACTATACTAAATGGAAAAATTACGGTGGGGGTTGGCTGAAATGGACATAATGAACCAATCAGAACTGATCTATGATAATTCATGCTTGTTATCCCTCGTGTGCTTGACCTATAACCTTACAATCGCATGACAAATCGCGTCCAAAGTTCGACTTGTTGCACATGTGTAGGCAATGGCGAGCTTGCGACCTATTTTGATCAAATTATGGTGGGTGAACTTTCAAAAGTCAATGGGACATGAGGGTTCCAATGAAAGAGCTAGTGTCAACGTACGTCGAGGTGGATGTGCTTTTCGTTTAAACAAAAAATGAATTTTTAACGATTTTTGTTGGGTAAAAGTCCATAGGCTAACATGTTAGGCTGCTGGACTTTGACGATAGAAGGCGTTGTCCAATGAGACTAAACGGAGCTATATGATAAACTTGTTTGTTTTAATGACATTGTTGCCTAGAAGAGGTTTGGGAATTTATAATACTACATTTATCATTATTATTATTACATTACAATTCAGTTAATGGGCAGATATGTAATACTCCAGGCTGGCTAAACTTCGGTGATTCACAGTACCTCATCGTTAACGAAGGAAGGAACTGGTTCGATGCGAACATGTACTGTGAAGAGCAAGGTGGACATCTCGCAATCATTACTTCTCATGAACAAAATGTAAGTGAAAATAAAATTCACCAATATGTATTCACCAATATGATTTTATTACTAATATTTCCTTTTCCCTTCGTCCCATTTCAACAGTTTGTATAAACCGCTGTTACATGTTAATTAAAAAATGTGTAGTACATTACCTTACATCACGTATACTCATATTGGATATTTAAAAATGTCTAAGATATTTCCTTTGCGGTTCTAGGACAATTAACATGCCCCCCCCCCTGAAAAT